TACTAAAAAAAAGGAAAAGTATTGTTTAAAATTTCAGACTGTGTATCCCACAGTAGAAAGTAAGGGTAACGTGATAACTCAGTATACTCTAATAAAGTCTTCTCGGGCTGTCAGCCGTGTTAAATGGTGTCAATTGCCGACGTTTCGAGGACCATCTCTGTCCTCATTTTCAAGGCTGTTGACTGTGTGACTCGTAGCGCTAGCCACACAGTCAACAGCCCTGAAAATGAGGACAGAGATGGTCCTCGAAACGTCGTCGATTAATCAACATCTAACACGGCTGATAGTCCGAAAAGACTTTATTAATGGAAGCCGCCGTGAAAGCTTCACATCATATATCAGTATTCTCTGTTTGTAACCTGAACACACTGATATTCTGGCAGGTAGTATAATGTGTAATGCAAGGGTCACAAACTCTGGGTCCGCGGGACGATTACAGCGCATGTACTTTTGTGGTATAAGTCGCCAAACGAAGATGACAAAATAAATTGTAATTTCAAGTTTTATTAATAAGTTAATGACGCTGTTTAAACTTCATAAGCTATGTAGTGTCGAATGAAGTTGATGGTCATAAATGTTGGGACCATAAGAATTTTCCTCGCCCATTGTATCCGCTTTTATTTGATCAACGTAATAAACTGTATTTCATCTCCTCTCTAGCTTACGTGTGTATCAGGACAAGTTTTGTCGGGAACTTTGTCTCTCATTCTAAGGCCACAGACGTGGCTAAATGAAATTTCCCAACCAAATGTTCACACAGCGTTTTGTCTGAAAATTTGCCATGCACAAAATGTCGTAGTTATATAATGAGATTAGCAAATATGTTTCTCGTCTTAATCATAATGAAGATGCATCTAGAAATGAAGTCGTAGTCATGCTTTCTGTGAAATAAGTTTTGGGATAAAATTACTTTCGTAGCTCCTTGAATTTACGAGGAAAAAATACGTAGTCCTTCCCTCTTGAAATATTTGTGTTTCATTGTTTCCTTTTATCCATAATCTTACTGACCCAGCCAGTGTAGTGACATCAATTTTAATATTCAGGAATATAAAAGCGTGGACCACTTTAGATAGGGCTTAGTGTTTCTTTTTAACACGGTATTAAACCATGGACTGCCGTAAACGGTGGACCAATTATCGATTATCTTAAAACCTTGCAGACCGTGCAGTGTATTGATATATAAAATCATGCATACAAACAAAACTGTTTACACATTAAATAATACTTTGTGCCAAACGCGTTTCGACCTCAAAAATGCTTGACATTTTATAAAAATGCTACATCTATAAAACTAACAAAAAGCTAAATATCATGAATTAACAGAACACTCGCGACTCCAGTATGTTCTTTGACCTGGCAATAAACAGAAACAAAATTAAATTTTGTTTGCAATAGATGACCATACTGGTTAATCAGAATGATTATAACCCTGCACACTTAGTAGGACCGACAGTAATACCAATTCAACGTTAACGTTTACAATCCAGGCAACCACGGCTCACCGTAGACCAACAACGGAAACCTCAAGTAAAACTTGGGCCAGTGAACATTGAGCTGAGTAACTTGTGCAATTAAACATTCAGTGTGGCTTTATAACGTGCGACCTTTTACAGCGCTTTATAACAAGCAATCGATTCATGAATCGTATGATAATAGACAGATTAATGAAGTGATGTTTTTGCCACTGATGACGACCTCTTGAGATCGAAACGCGTTTGGCACAAAGTTTTATTTAATGTGTAAACAGTTTTGTTTGTATGCATGATTTTATGTAATTATCGATTAACTGAGCGACTTTCTGCGTCTCAGGAAGGACTTTGCTCCGTGTCTCTCTAAGCATTTATTACTTCCAGTCATCGTGGCCATCTGCTTTAGGTTACTATCCTGGAAATTACCTGCTAGAGTTGACGATAGCCTCAGTGCCTCAGCCGAGATATAGGTAAGCCCTATTCGAACACTTGCCACGCACCCCACTGTTATCTCTTTCCGCTTGGTCGATATTGCTATCAGAGGCGTGGTGGTATTGTGCGCCGTTTGCTGGTTCTTCCTCGCTCCCAACATCAGACAATGTTCTGAACGTCAAATCTGTACACATTTATAATTGAATAATTAATATCGTGGAAAATTAGCTTTTGTTTTCTCTTCCTGAACAATTTTATCTTACAGTTGTCCAAATACATTGTGAGATTTAAGGTCCTCACGGAGGCGAGCATGAACATGGCAGCTTGCTGGTACATTGCGACACGACGCAGTAACTCAGAAGGGTCTCACCGCTGTAACATCAATTTATGACTATTTGTGTGTGTTAGGCGTGACTGGCCACAATCTCAATAACGCTGCTAGATGGCAGAATGTTCAATTTTACAAGTGATGTTACGTATGATTTGAGGTTTTCACAGCGGTAAGTATGAAGATTTCTGTCTGAATCGCCCCGATGACGGAGGCAGTATGACCTCTGAAACGTTGGTAAACATCTACCAGACTACACAGCGCAACAACCCAGAAGACAGAAATCTTCATACTAAGAATCGCCCTGATGACGGAGGCAGTATGACCTCTGAAACGTTGGTAAACATCTACCAGACTACACAGCGCAACAACCCAGAAGACAGAAATCTTCAAGTGGTGTTACCATTGGAAATCTTCTTGAATAACATGTAACGAATGTGAAGGTACGAAGGGATTAAGGAAAGGAGAAAGGGTGATAAAAAATGAAGATGTTAAATAGATAATTCTTTCTGGATTTTCTACCGGTCTTTTAACTAGTATGTCACAGTTTTAGTGTAATTTTACTGTGCTGCTAAAACTAAACTGTTCGATTTCATTTGGAGTGGAGCTCCAGCTGAGAATCGATGTTGTGACAATCGATGTTGTGTTTTTCGGGTCCACCGCACACCTAAGCGGCAGTGACAGACGAGAAGAGCCATTAGTCGATTGATGACTGCTGAGGGAAAGGCAAAGTAGGCTGCTAGCAAAATCCGCCCTAACTTTACACTGTTCACAGTTCCCTTGTTGACTGTATTGATAATAATATTCTAGACGATGATACACAACATATGATGATATTTTTCTGCTTTCTTGGAACACGAAGGTTCGTTACTTTGTTCACAAAAGCCAGCCACTGGAACTTTTCCGTAGCGAATTGAATCCTTGTGTTCTGATGATTGTGCATTGCGATACTAAACATTTGTTTCCTAGGCGGATAGCTACGAAAATTATCAGTTATGATAGACATTAATTCGGCCTAGATTCGAACCTAGTACCTCCTTGACACAAGTATGGATCGTTACGTCACACTAACTTTCCCTATAAATAGAAACGAATTGGGAAGGAAGCGATCCTGCCATGTTTCTAGCATCTACCTAGAAATGCTCTAAAACGTACAAGGTATTTCGGCTTACATTAGAAATTGGTAGGTCTGCCACACAGTGCAACATCTTACTAGTTGTTGGTTGCCACTCGTACAAGGCGTGGATGTTATACTTTTTACGTTGAGTTCCAAAATAATCTCAGAAACTCTTACTATCCAATTTTAACTAAATCCAAAATGAATTTTTCACAGAAACTTATTTGGTGGCATTACTAGACCAGTAGGCCCATTTCACAGAAAACAAGTTGCTTATTACCTTTCAGCTATTTTATGGCTGAAACTTGATTTAAGCAAATCGTATATCGATTAATGCTGAAATAAGATAAGGAAATAACACAATTTTCGCACTAAAAACTAAGATTAAAACTGCCTAAACGATCTTCGCAACAGTTTATTTGTAAAATAATTTGTTGGTAACATCTGTAGTCTTTTAGCATTTAAGACGACCTAACATTCTGGACTCAGTATCTCTGTGCTCACTCGTTATCTACCACGCATCTGTGTCTATTAATGTTGCAGTCGAACTTACAGGTTCATCAGAAATTTCTACTGGGGGTGGGTGTAGCACTCATCCCAACAAAACACTTCCAGATACGGACCAGAGTGTCAGTATTCGTAATGGAACTATTTTGTATACTTGTTAAAAGATTCTCCTCTTTATCAGATATAATTAGGGTGTAAAAAAGAAGGATGCAATTGGTTGAATAATAGCACGCACACGGATGATGAGAAATTTGTGAAAATTATAAACTGTGAAACCTGTGGGTATGAGGTTAACTTTAAAGCAAAACGTGAGGGTGTGGCGTGGGTTAGACTGACCCGTGGTCTATTCTGAATATGGTAATGAAGCTTAGAGTACGGTAAACGGTAAGGAATTTCTTGAACAGGTGGCAGATCATCAGATTTTTAAAGAAGGCTTCTGTTACATGGAGGTTTTCTAATTATGAACCGAAATTGTGTTGCTTTGTAATCCGAAGAGAGGGAAATTCACAGGCAGCGTTAAGATCGTCCTGTTAGTCGTCTCGACACAACCATGCTGTCAGTTTTCCACTCGGAAGAACTCGTTAACAGACCCTATATTTTAATCCCTCGTTAGCAGAACGTCCAAACTTTGGGGCGAACAGGATCAGTGCCAATCAACAGAAGATTTTGAAATTCTGAACGTCAGTTGCGTGTCCGCAAGGATTGTGTCCGTTTTCATCCAATTAGGCCACGACGAGGTAATAGTGCGACCTTTTGAAACTCATTCGCTCAGGAAGGATTTTCATTGCAACACTTGACGGCAAGGCAATCTTGTGACCTTAGTTTAGCCTTAAATCCAAGTGGGCTATTTCAATTAATGTTTGCAAAGGTGAGATTATAACAAAACTGTATTTTAAATTTGTTGTCAGCAGGTAACACTCTTGTGTAGGCCTGTGTTATAATAGGCTTGCATTATTTTCTTTATTTCTAATTAATTTAATTATTTTGTCTCATTCATTAATTCATTCTTACTTTATTTAGTTTTTATCCTCTCTTCCTCCAGCTTTTCATGTTTTTTACATTTGTCTTCTTCTGTTTTCTATTTTGTTACCTTTTGTTCATTGTTTCTCTTTTATTCTTTCTGATTATGTTTTTTTCTTCCATTTAGAGTCCAACCCCGACTGTGGGGTGTCTTCAGGGCAGGCAGAAAAAACACCAAATTTGAACGGAGGGTGTTGGACTACGCTTCAGTTTGGTAAGTTTCGGCATATTCCTATTTTCAAAAACAAATAATGTGTTGTGGCAATTGAAAATCTCTGGAAGAAACAATTTGTTATTTTCGTAAGGAGAAGCTAAAGGGTTCATTACTCTATCGAAAGGATTTAACCGAACGTCGCGACTGAGTGGTTAGCATCCCGCTTCATATTCGGGAGGTCCCTTTTCTAATGTTCCGGAGACTGTCTGTATTAACCGATACTTCCTGATTTACCTCAGTCCCTCCAAGTAAATACTGTGATAATACGACAAATTAGCCACGACCGCTTCCCTCCACATTCTTAACAATTTATTATTCGTTCCAACATTCGACGCTATTTAGTCTGAGCTACTGACAGCATCGTAAAATAAGTCACAAGTAAAACAGGCCTTTCTTTTCTCTATCCTGGGTCAGTTTAATCCAATCCATAACGTCGCACCCTATTGCCTTCAGATAATTTTAACACTGTTCGCCCATATATGTCTGGGTTTTCCCAAGCACTTTCTTCCATGTAGGTTCTCATACTAAAGATTTCCAGGCATTATTAAAGCCTTCTACAGTCGGGTAGCTTCTGTGTTGGGGCGCAAACAGGAATAAGACGCACAAGGTCTCATTACTTCAGAGTCAGTAAATGGCAGTCTTTTATCTTGTTAATCCCCTGAACCAGTAAGACAGTCACACACGCTGCCTTTTGTTCGAGGTGTTATTAGCTAAGACAAGGCTCCGTTCACGTTATTACAGAAGGAAGATTTTGTCGTCTTAAATTTCCCAGCCTTTTCCCTGGACGGGCGGACCACATTGCTGCTGAGGGATGGGTTGTGCGTCAGCCCACTTGTTCGCCCTCATTTTACCCTACGTCGTACTAAGTTTGTTGGCTCAGCATTCTGCCTTCACTTATCGAGAGGCGTTACAACGGGGCGAACAATTGAAGGATTTCGTACAAGAAGGGCACATTTTCGATTCCAAAAAAACTTCTTGACACTGTGTTGTTGGAAGGTACCTCATGCCGCGAACGGCGAATTTGCGCGCAAATGTAAATATCTCTATCTCCGTTTAGGGCGAGGTCCGCAGTGGCCGCGCGGTCTGAGGCGTGGGCCTTGTGCCGCTTGGTCGCTGGGACCGTGGGTTCGAATCCCACTCAAGCCATGGATGTTTGTCCGCGTTCTTCTGTGTTGTGCTGTCCTGTGTACAGGTAGAGGCCTTGCGACGGGCCGATCCCTCGTCCAAGGAGTCCTACCGAATGTCTATCAGGTGAAGCCAACGAAAAACGTTGTGACCCGCAGTGCTCAGGCACTTGAAGAACGGGTCGTTCCCAGTATCCCAGTATCCCGTATAGAGCAGCATCAAGCATTACGCCCTTCTGGCGTGGCATAAACCAAATATCTCATATCATGCAAATATGTTGGAACGCCCTTCGGACATAATACCCTCGATGTTTTATATAAATAATGTACTTCCACCACTCAAAGAAAAAAATACGGACAGGGACTTTGGCTTAGCCCAGCGCAGATGATAATGGGGCATGATCGTACATTAAAATGAAATTCATCACGGATTGCAATCGAAGCGAAGTATGTTTGTTTCTAGATTGTAAATGGCCTATATGCACTATGTGAACGTTGCTGTCACAGTTCTGTCAAGATTCTAGACACCACACTGATTCTAGAAACTGTTAACGCTTTGTTATGAACATATAGTTATCATTCGTATGTAAGTCCAGAATAATGGTCATTGGTTTCCCTTTAACATTAATTCTGTTCCACAAAACTCGACTTGCTCATTCAGCATGCCAATCGCCAGGCGAGTAAATTCTCGAGGAACTTTTTGATGTGATGAACAGCGATTGTGTTACGGCTACCGAATGATACGGTCGGGTAATTCATATATAAACGTTTCAACCTTACCTGCAGATCCGGTTCTGAATGAGACTGTTAAACATTAGTTTTATGTCGCCGTGTTCTGTTCGTTGGATCAACTGTACTGTGCAGAGAGCCACAGCAATTCTCATACTTAAAACTTTTTCTGTACTTTGAATCAAGGACTGGGTACTTCTGTCATGGTCTTGTTTTCCGTATTGAAATTAAAATAATGTCCTGCAGTTTATTTACTGAAGTATATCGATACAAGTAACTTTTATGGAGCAACAGTGTAAAGTGTATCAGATAAAATATGTTGTCTAAAAGCGTAAAATTCTCGTAGGTATGGCATGACAAAATGCTTTTACTTAACAATATTTACTTATTTTAATATTAACATCGACTAATGTTTCAAATAAAAGTTTGTATATTTTAACGACACATTAATTTCATGTTCCCATATTGCACGATAAAGTTTTTTATACAATTCATAAAGGTTCAGAGACCTCATTTAAAGTAGCAGTTATATATTCGACTGATGCGGGTAGTATTAGAATTAAATTCGCTCGATAGCTTTTAGTGTGACTAATCAGACAAATTTTTTCATTGTGTTAGAAAAGTCTGCGTTCTGTAATATATTATAATTCTTAGAAATGTATTTATAATTGATTTAAAGTGATAGTTAATCTGTACATTTCGAAAAATTGCTTTTCGAAGTAATGGCTGTTTCATTAGAACTAACTATGCAACCAGCTAGTTGATGGAAATCTAACAAATTATTTCTTCTTTTAACTTCCAGCAATATTCAGTCATTAGTCATTTACTGACAGTTCTTCCCGTTAAATGAGAATGAACTTTGAATTAAAACTTGTGAGTAATGTGAACTGAATACGTTCATTAAAGGAACGTAATCTGTAATCAGCAGAATCGTTACTTTCTTTCTGCAAGATTCGAGTTTCAACAACGCACTACTGATTAGGCCTAATTATTTTTTAAATAATTTTAAAGATAAACTCTATGCTGTGTGCACTGGCATTACAGTATAATTAAAAACGATATCAGAGTTATTAGGTTCTATCTCTCTTTTAGAATGTATCATGTATTTTACAACTTCTAAAATTGTAATAAACTGAACTTGTCATCCTCCTAACACCACTTGCAAAATATGAGACATGTTTTCAACATATTTACAGTATTCGTCGCAGACCAAAATATTTCGTACTTTCTGAAGTTCTTATTTTACATTGAAAAATGCCCTAACGACAGCTGCAGATCTGTCGCCATACAACACTTAGTGACATTACATTCAACGACGCTAGTGCTGATCACATCTCAGAAGTTCACACATCCGTAAAGTTTGTCTTGTTGATAGCAGGTTGTTAGACACCGAGGTGCGGTCAATTTGCTCCTGCAGCTCTGAAGTAATTTAAACATATATTGCAAGCGGTATTTGTATGTCCCCGCAATTTTAGAAGTTGTCCAAAACCTGTAGGTCCCAGATATAGATACCAGCACCAGCTTTCGTAAGAGTTGGCCCCTGGAAATGAAACTCCGTCTTCGCCAATTAATTTCGTGGGGAATACGTGTTCTCTTTCCTTAGATAATACAAACGATCATGTACTTTTATTTATTTTCAAAGCTAAATTTAATGGTATTGGAAAAGGACTTTGTACTTCTTAAAGTGAAATTCGGTGCGTGGGTTATCATTAATATCTTTGACTTTCCGTTTCTGTCTCGTTTAATTAATATGATGAAAAAGAGAAATAGAAGAATTACAAGTAGCAAAGGGGACGCAGAAAATTGGCTGTTAATAAATAAAATTTATATTAAAAGTGTTCATAATATAAACAAGCGCTTTTGACATTTCATTCGGTATAATGAACGGCTGCAGGCAGAGTTTCGGGGTTCTGTTCTCGTCAGACACGGACTGTTCTCTTGGCTGCCTCGTCCGGATCAACTATGAGAACAGCCAAGCTTTCGGTCTAGTTGGTATCTGGCTTTCTCTGCCTTGGGTTAATATGACCTAAGCGTGAAGCTCATCACTTACCTTCGTCTGATGCTGAGTTTAAGAATACGAGGATCTATAACTCCACTCCTACACTGTTATGGAATATCCTATTGTTATTTAAACATCTGCAAACTGTGTAACAATTGTCTTGAAGTCACTGAAGTTTTAAGCTAAATGCAGATGTGCTTCAGTAGATGAATGTCTTTGATGATGATACAGTAATTCTGTCGGAGGATTTCAGCGAATGAAAGAAATGCTGATGCCACATTTTGGTTTATTCTGTTATGTTTATTTTATGTTAGTCTTTTGTTGTATGTTTTTTCATTGCAGAGCGTCCCATTGTGTATGTTTATTTCTCTTGTTTTATTTCTTTCTTTCTTGTTAGGCTTATATCTAGCTCGTGGATGTCAGTAATTGTTTTCTACCAAAATAAGGTGCACACTCGTTTTCCAAACTTATGTCATTTAATTGTTCGTCAGTTGTTCTGGTGTCAGGCGACCGTACCCCAAAATACTGCACAGAATTTTATTAACCATCTTAATTTTTCAGCCTCAGAAGCAAGAGATAAGAAGTTAAGATTTTTCCGATAATCTGTTAGTGTAATGTCATATCAGCATTGTTTGAGTAAAATTGACTGATTATAATAAAAGAAGCAAAGGATAAGCGATTTATTTGGTTAGGTAGGTATATATCAAATAGAGTCACTAATTGTCGTAGATACACAGGATGATTTTGCACTGGGGCGAAGCGAAAGTACTGGTTTTGCGTTTGCTTACAAAGATCGAGGGAAACACCAAAGAAACTCTTATCCTTTGTCTCAACTAAATCTTGAGCCACACAGACACCTGCACATTCGAGCTTCGTTATCGCTGTGCTAACTCGACCAGAGTAATTTAATAGGTGGGTGTCATAGGCTACCATCAAGAAGTAGGAATGAAACAACAACTTCGAAAGACAATTGTTTAATCGCAGAATATTACAGCTAAAGATATCGTAGGCCTTCCTGTGTGCGGGAAATGCTCATCTCTGTTTCACTGATCTGAAGAACAGGTCATGGCAATAATAGTGGACAGATTAGCAGTCAGTGGGCTATTTAGTTTATTTTAAAATGCGTTATTTAGGAGATACGGACGGAC